ATTCGAAAACTATTTTGAGCAGCAGAAAAAGTATCTCAATAGGTGTATTGCATCAAATGGAGAGTACTTTGAAGGTGACTGAAATTTAAACATGTAAGAATAAATACACAATTTGTATAACTAAATTTCAGGGGTTTTTTTTGGGGGGGGGGTCTGGTATACACCCTGTGTAAGAAAGAAGGAGATAAATCTAGGGAGGCAAAAAGATTTGAACATTATTTAGAGCCCAAGGAAGAGTCAATATGGTGATAAGAACTGTGATTTAAGGAGATTAATTAAATTTGGATGACAGAACAAATGTGAAGGAAAAAGAAAAAGTCAGAACAATATTGCCATAAAGTACAATGCACCTGTTCTAAGAAATTACTGTTCACTAGGACAATGGACCTTAATCTTTTTCCTTTTAGAAGCTTTTGAAATTACAACCCTCCCTTTAAGTAAAAGTGCATAGGACACACAAAAATTTGCCTGTAATTTTATACACACTTGACTCCATCTATAGACCTAAATTCAGAATCACTTCTTTATTTACTTCTTGATGATGTTCCATGCCAGTCAAACATTTCTTAAAACGATTATGACATTCCTCAACCCCTGTGAATCAAGATTAACTCCAGAGTTCCTCATGACATTCTGCCACTCCTCCAACTCTGAGTATCATAGTGGACTGAAAGAATGATACTTTTATAAAGGAGAAAAATGTGTTTTTTTCTCTTGACCTTCCTTCCTGCAGGTATCACTGAAAATAGGTTCCACTTGTCTTTTTCCTCTTTTCTGCCTCTCGTTTCTGTCACTCATAATGACTGTGACCTTAATAACCTTCCAGAATACCCATATGGCCCTTTTTCTCCTCTACCTAGCAATGCTATACCTGCTACATAATGGTTTGGATCTCATAATACTGTTCCTAAGCCTGGCCTCTCTCACTGCCTGGCATTGTGTGCCTGCCACAAGACCTGGCTGGCTCGTAAAACATCTCTTTATGTACTTTATTACTTAAACTCTTTTATTTGCCTGCAGGAGCCCTTTAACAAAATCACATTGAATTGACTTTCTCACACCAAATCAAATCTCCCTGGTCCCAGTTCAGTTGTCTTTGTCAATATGTATTTTATAAATGGAGTGAATTAACAGATGCTGTTGGAACAGAAATGCTGGGGTGGCGTTTATGTTTTTAGTGCTCTCTCTGGGCAGATGAGTTGTGTAGGAGTGTTATACAGGTATCTCGGGATGAAAGTCATGTGCGTCATTTCAGTGGATATGTATTCTTAGCCATTTTCTTTGAATATATTTTAAACCTCTTTATCACTCATTTTTTCTTAGTGTTTGCTGATATGGTTTTATCAGTTATGCCATTAATCTTAGGTTGGACTTGATTATATCTCTTAGTATGAAAAGATGAAAATTAAAGCCTCTCCATCATTCAAAGAGAACAGGTTTTTCTGTTAGCCATGGGAAGCTGATCATGAGATGCCTTTGGAATATATTGCCTTATTTCTATAATAAATTTTGTCCATGCAGAATTTGATGTGAAACTCTGGGTTGAAATTGTTTCAGAATAGAATACTGAGTTTCCATGTCCTGGACTCTGACTTCAGAAGAACAAATACTATCCCATCGTTTGTTTCATAAGCTGGTGTTTGTGAACTTTGCAAAGAGGAAAGTATAACCACAGAAATCCATGGTATAAGAGTTGTATTGAAAGAAAATTTCCCCAGAAAACTTCTATATAACATAATGAATTTTTTGAAAAGTATAATATATCAATGCTATAAAATATATCGCAATGATTTGGGGAGCATTTTTACTTTGTCCCTTCTTTCTCACTGTTGTGGTGGTAGCCATAGAGCCATCTACTGGTGAAGACAAACATGAATTTCTTTTCTTTGATGCTCTGCCACTAATTGTATACATGTATCCTAGGAATGATTAATCACAAACCTCTTTTTTTGTCTCCTAGACCTAAAATATCCCTTGCCTTAAGATGGTGTCCCATGATCAATCCCAGAGTTTCAAAATGATTTGTCATATTCCAGACTGTTTTTTACTTTTATACTATTTTTGTCTCAAAAACATGATACACAATTCTTGATCTTCTTCCTCTTCTTTCTTTTTAATGGAGCACCAGTTTTGCAGATTTTACTATTTAGAAATTCATCAGGCAGATATGTTTACAAATGTTTTCCTTTTCAGACCTTAATATGAAATAACTATTGGCAACATATTTGAAGTATTAACAATGTTGTGAGTACAAAATTCTTTCCTCCACTGTTTTTCTAAGTTGTGGAATGGAAATGCAGTGGAAACCATCCTTTGGATTTATATGCTATCTAGAAAGGCAATATATGCTGTTTGAGCTGAAAAATAAACATTTACTAGCTTAACATGTACCATACCACTTTAATAACATCTGCATCTTGTTCAAAGAGACTCTCCATCTTTCTACAAATTTAATGAAGAGTCTCTGGAAGAATGGACCAATGTATCAATAATGCATGACCTATTTTGTTTTTCTTCGAGCATATTTAAAATTGTGCATTCTGTGTGTCAAAGTTCAAAAGTCAAGTGCTACATGTGATAAATTAGGTAAGGGTCAAAAGTTATTGCAATGCAGTTTCGAAAGATTGTCTGTCTCTGAATTTGCAGCTCATTCATGCTGAAGTGATGCACTATGGGAATTACTACCAAACTCTGCTCTGCAACATCTGCTCTCCCTAAGTGAGTTAGTGCACGTCAGACATCTTTATGTCAGAATATTGCAGTGATGGATGCAGTCTTCAGAAAATGCTGCATAAAAATCTGGTGTGCCGTTCTGGCCATTAAGTGAAATTACTATTTAAATTAATGGCACTGTCACAGTTTATCTGTGCAAAGAATGAACGCTGATTAGGGTATTAAGTAATTAGCAATTTATCACACTGGAACAAGGTTGATAATAATTAAAGAAGTAATGGTTTACCAAAGAAACTAGAAAGGGAGTCACTTCTTGTTATGTGAGTGAAATCTTGGCTGAAAATTTCAATTCAGTAAAACAAAGATGAAGCTCTTTGTGAAAGAAAGCATCTTTTTTTGTTCCTAGCGTAAAAACAGTTCATTATCAAAATTTTAGTTGACCTGCCAAAAGTCCCTCAGAGCGATCAGATGACTGATTAGGAGTTTCAAATTAGGTCAATGTCTGCATTTTGATTTTATACTTAAAACATTGTGAAACCGCGATGCAATTTGGGAGTAGAGAGAAGAATGTATTCTGCTCCCTAAAGGGCCCATTTTCAGATTTTGATTGCTCTTTAAAATAGAAACATGAATTGTTTTAAGAAAACTGCTAGAGAGAAAAAAATGACAATAAAGAAGCCAAGGTTGCACTTAAATGTCTAATCAGAAGGTGGCAGAAATATGTCCAAACAATTTAAAACTTGAGGCTGTAGATTTTTCTTTTTATGTGCATGTGTATACACATATATGTACATATATGTATGTATATATTTATGTATATATACACAAGTATTTAACCACCATAGTCAAGACTCAGACTACAACGAGCCCTCCTGTGTGTATCTGAGAGAACTTTTCCTGGAAATGCTAAAAACAACTAAAATTGTTAATGTAATAGTTTATTTTTAAACCAATTATTTTGAAGCATTATCACATTTAGATAAACATGGCATGTCAAAACTCTGCTATGATCAGTGTAGATCATTAATCATAAATAAGATTTTTTAAATATTGGGAAATGTTTTTTTAATGGAAAGATCAGGGAGAGGGCTCTTTGTAGTCACATGTAAATAAACATCTTTCTTAAGACATTTGCCAAGCCAGTGTCTACTTTCAATGATTTTTTTTTAAATAGCACTTAAAAATCCTAGATCTATTATTAGGAGTGTATTTCATAATGTAGGTGTTTGTACAGGACCAGATTAAACAATTCAGGACCCTGGGGCACTTTGAATTTGAAGTTTTTTACGTTATCAGCTGGGACTAATAATAAACAAACAAAATTCTAATTAAAATAAATCATTCATCACATTGTGCTGCTATATAACTGGGTATAAATTCTAATATGATAGCACTGTGACATGCAGTATAGGCACCTTAATTTCTAGCTTGATCTGACTCTAGAGAATTGTTTATTTATTCATGCTTTAATGCTGAAATTTTTGGTCTTTTCTTCTATGGAAATATCTAAATGATGTGAACATAGGCAATTAAACTGAATTTGGTAGGAGAAAAAAGCCTATTTGGTATCTCAGGTACATTTGTCTTTCATTGAGATGTGGAGATCAATAATCCTCCCTACAAGGTCTTTTTGCCACTGCCTCCAATCTTTCCCCCATGTTTATAATGGTTCTAGAACTGAGTATGGCTCAAAAGATAGTGGCTGACTGGTATGCCTGATCAATGAACACATTCAACTGGATTTGAAGACCAAATCTATCTCATGAAGAAAAGAATGGTTGCCATTTCAGCTGGATTCACAAGAAGCAAATATTTGTACTCTAGACAAAGACAGGCCTAAACTTGCAAGGTTCATACCATAGAGTGTCCCCAGTTCTAAACTGGTGCTACCTTTCCACTCTGCCCGGCATCTTGTTCCAGAGAGCTTAGGAGACCTTTTCTCCCATGTGACTTCCTAGAATTTTTTCTGAGTTCCTATAGTTTAACTAACTTTCTTCTGCAACAAGATGTTATCATCACAAAATGAGCAGGCAGTTTTCATGACAGAAATACGATCTTTTTTGTGGAGCTTGAGAGAAGTTTGGCCCAGCTAAATGATTTTCGAATACTTCCTCTTGTGTGTTCTTTTCCTAATTAGTGTCTAGTGCTTTTGGTAAGAAGGACCCTCACTGCACATTTAAATCACCTTGGTAGGGAAATGCTACCTTAGGCATTGTTCCATTTCAGCAACTGCCCGAGTCTGACATTTTTATACCAAGCTTTATAGCAGCCTCAGTTTTCTTCCCTTTTTTTATTTCATATTCATATATAACATTTTATTGTTGCAGGGATGTTCTGTTGTGGGCAGGATTATGTGAATATGTCAGATACCATATGCTGCTCAGCTTCCAGTGGAGAGTCTAAGGCACATGTTAAAAAGAATGACCCAGTGCCAGTAAAATGCTGTGAGACTGAACTTATTCCAAAGAGCCAGAAATGCTGTAATGGAGTTGGATATAATCCTTTGAAATATGTTTGCTCTGACAAGATTTCAACAGGAATGATGATGAAGGTAATTGATAGAAAACCTCTCAGAGGCACTGATTTGACAATGGAAAGAGAAATACATTGTTCATAACTATTTTTCTAAAATAGGAATATAAAAACTCCTGTGTGCATTATTCATTTTCACATTACATCCATATTAATACCGAATGAGTTCGCTATGATTGATGTTATTGCAATGAATTCTAAAAGAATTAATAATGATTAGCTGTTCTCAGGGAAGCTTTACCCAGCACTTCAGATTAGTGCAGGACTGAAAGTCTGTGTGCTGCTCAAAGAGCCAGCTTGGGTCGTCTGGGGCCTCTGCATGGTACCATTTCATGCCTGGGAGCACTGAGAATGGAGATGGAGGGAAATTCCCACTTCTTTCCTGTAGCCCCCCAACCATCACCCACTACTTTCCTTTGATAGAGACTTTACACCCAGAAAATTCATTTAATTGTGTTCATATACATTCTTTTAGACAATTAATGATGAGCAAATGCCCCTGTCAATCACAGAAATGAAGGAATAAGCTTGTGGGTGTAATCACTTATGTTTATATGCTGTGGTGCTTCAATAGAGCCATTCATGTTTGTGGGTATCAAATTTGACCCAGGAATCCAGAAACCTGTCAATTTAAGGAAAAGTCCATGGACATTTAAAAAACAAACACACTGCCTGTTCTGTAGGAATGTGTCATTATGAGACCACTTAAAGTGGGTGTCTTGGTCATGAAGGTGGAAGGGCATTTGCTCGATGAGGCAACTACACAATCCTTGAGTGGCCATCATACACTTTGGGATGTGAAAGAACTCTTATGAGATTGTTAGGGGCCCATTGCTTTGTAGCAATGATTGATTATGTTAATACATGAGGTTTGCTAAATTATTATGATGAGTATATTTCTCCACGTTGAATCAAGTAATGTGTCATAGGTAATCATGTTCAGTCTGTACATTTCATGTTTTGTCCTGAAGCCTACTCTCCTGGAGACCTCCATCTTCTGCGCCATTGTGGTATTGTTACACCGCTGGCCCAGTGGGTCTTCCCTAAGCTGTCAACTCAGGAATTTCTTTCATCCCTTTCCTGTGTTGGCTCTCCTGTTTTCTGGACCCCAAGTTTCTTCCCTTTTGGAGAAGATTCTGCCCGGATATAGATCTACAGAGAGTAAATTTTTTTGAGAGTTTATGTACGAAATTATCATTATTTTACTCTCCAATGGAATTGATCGCTTGGCCAGATATACAATTCAAGGTTAAAAATCATTTCTACTCAGAAAGTTGAAGACGTTTCTCCATTGTTTAAACTTCCATTGATATTTTGAATCCCATCTCTTTGTAAGTAACGAGATTATTTTTCCTTTGAAAGCTTTGAAAGATGTTCTCTTTATCCTACTCTTCTCAAATTTCATGACAATGTACCTCTGTGTGGAAGATATTCTTTTTCTTTTTTTTTTTTGTGAACAATGGAGAGCTATCTTCTTAGCATATTTTTGATAAATTTTTTACACTGTGAGCTTCATGGTTCTCTTCCAAGCAACAGCTCAGTAACCCAAGCTCCTTCCCTCTTGGAGAACTTCACATACAGCCCTCAGGTAATGATGGAAAGGGAGAGAGAGTGGACAATTCACATTGGCGGGTTGGACCTGGGTATAGAGTATGTACTTTCTGTACACTAGTCACACAGACATATCTAGTCATGTAACCCCTTCTAATGCAGCTAGGCTTGAATATCCCATGTTTTCAGAGAAAAAGGGGAAAAATGGACATTCATGAGCACATCATATTATCTCTGCTACATCTGTCTGCTCTCCAGCTTCCAAAATGGTTTGGGCTCTTCTCTGTGTGTTACTTCTTTCCCTTTTCCCTCAGACTTTATATTTAAGTCATTCTTTTACTGTCATTTGGTTGGGCTTTAAGAGGAAATAGAGATAAATCCAAGTGTTTGATTTACCATTTTCAAAATGGGAGTACCACTATATTTTTCTGAAGTAGCTTTATTTTTACTAACTAAGTAAGAATAATTCAACTTACTTTATGTAAGAGAGAGGTTGAATGGAGATCAGTTATTAATAGCAAAAAGTATTCTAAATATATTATGCTGCTTATATAAATGAGAGGCAAAGTAGATCATTGCATTATAAGAATATTGCCTTATTTATAGCTCCTGTAATTTGAGATGATTAAGTATTTAATTTCCTAAGATTAGAACACAGTAGTACTTATCAATAACTATAACAAATTCAGAGTTTTGTCAGAGAAAAGGTTTATAAATATAGGTAATTATAATTATAATGACAGTTCATGAAATATTTAGATTTTTTAAAACTTGGATGAGTAATACTTCTTATGAGATCATGAGATCAACTTTCCCAACAGCACAAGAGGTACACATTCTCAAATATCACATTCTTTATTTTCTCTAAAACATCAGAGGAAGTTATCAAATAACAATAATAAAATAATGACCACTGTTACTATTTGTAGTATGTATATGAAGTTTAAGGCATTTACAGGTGATGTCTAATATGATTCACATAACAAACCTCCATAGTAAATTTTATTTCCATTTTTCCCACTGAAAAAGCTCAGACTTTGAGAACATAAGTGACTTGGTCAAGGTCACAGAGCTAGAAAGTTTCAAAGCTGAAACTTTAACCTAAATTCGTGTCATGTCAAATAACTGTGCTTTCTAATATACAAATTGCCTTCATTTCTTTTTGAAAATATTGAAATATTCATTTATCAACTAGGTGGAAGAAAATTTCACTTGAAAGTTATAAAATTCTACCCCATATAAGACTGAATGAAATTTTAAAATCCCTGTTCTCTCTCTCTCTCCCCACCCTTACCACTTGACTTAGGAAACCAAAGAGTGCAGGACCCTCTGCCCAGCATCTACAGAAACCATGGCACATTGCAGCAGGTGTGACTTCAACTTTACCAGCCACGTTTGCATTGTGATAAGAGGGTCTCACAATTCTACAGGAAAGACATCAATTGAAGAAATATGTTCATCTGCTGAAGAAACTGTTCACACAGGGAGTGTAAACACGTTCTCCTTTACAGGTAACCAAAAGTGAACTGTCTGCTCATGGTTTAGTGGAGGTGGTGAGAAGCTGCTGAAATGTAGATTTATTTCACTCTGACATTATCCCTCCTTAACCTGATATCAATATATAAATTCCATCATACTTTGGCGCCAGCAAGTTGCAAGGTAATTAAAGGAATAATCTGGATGTATCCAAAGTTAGTGGTTTACAATTATTTAAAGTCTAACTTTAAGCAAGTTATTTTAAAGCAAATCTGCAGAGAAGTCTGTGTACTTTTCTGATAATTTCAGTTAATTTACAATAAACCCAATTTTCTCTTTCAAAAGTTCCAATGCAGCTTTCAAAAAAATACCCTAAATAAATATTGCTATACTGGCAAGCAGAACAAAGGATGGAACCTGTCTTATTTCTTGTAAAGCTTAACAGTTTTATTCTAAGGAGAAGATACATGCAAGTATCGTGTTACCCCAATCATCTCAAAAACAATACTTTTTGCAGTTATGGAAAATATTAATTTCCAAGCACCCTCTTGGCCCTACTGAATTATTCCAGAATAGTGATTCTTATCTCTGGCAGAACTGAGTAAGATACACTATTAAGTTTAAGATTATCTCTAAAATAGTTCTGGCACCTACTAAATTGTTATTATTCATTCATTTATCTAAATCCCTCTGGAATGTGTTCCTGTTTTCTGAAAACTCAAGTGTGTGTATGTCATCTATCATCTAGCGTCAAATAAAATCTATTTAAGTGGCATAATTTGAGCAAGTTAAGGTTAAATAATCAAAACAATGCCTTATGCCACCACAGAGCATTGTTCTGCCTTGCTCAACCAAGAATGGGTGATGATGGTAAACCTCAGGAACGCAAAAAGTAAGGCAGAATACTGAGAAAAACGGGAGAAGGTTAAGAAGTGAAGAAAGAAGCAGAGAAATTTTATTTAACATTATTTAGTCCCAATGCTATGCTAGGTACTTTAAAACCTTCTCTCAGTGACCCACAAACAACTACATATAAAGTGCCACCCCCCCAAAGCCCCAGAATCTATTTATTAAAAATTGTGTATTCATTCATATATGCTTAAACCTTAGTCAGCTTCAAAGTACTCTCCATTTGATGCAATACACCTAACAGGTTGCTTTTTCCACTACTCAGAACAATTTTTGAACTTATCGCTTGTTATGCCTTTTAGTGCTTCCACCATTTTTTGTTTGTCTTTTTACCTCTTCCACACTAGCAAAGCTTTTCCTTTGAGGATTTTTTTTCATCCGAGAAACAAAACAAAGTCACTCAGGGCAAAATCAGGTGAATTGGAAGGGCAGGGAAGGGGGGTCATGCCATTTTAGGCCAGAAACTGTAGAACACTCAGTGTGGTGTGGGCAGGTGGGCTCATAAATCACCCATCATGAAATGGGCAAAAGTGTTGAAAGAATCTCAAAAAAAAATTTTTCATCGAAGCGGAACACATCCTTTCACAACACTAGTTGGGACACTGATGCCAATGGGTTCCTAGGACACTTACCAATGGGTTCCTAGGACACTTACCCAGCAGGGGAAGCCTGTACGATATGGTCATTCAACGAGTGAGGAAACTGAGAGGCAGATCTATATAAGTAACTTACCATGGTAAGGAAAAAAATTCAAATTATGCTATCTTCAAAAGGGGCTGATTTAGAAGACTCCACATGGTATAGTAGTTCCTTTCAGAGTGCTCCTAAACTCCCTCAAGCTGTTCCTTCCTTCTGAAATACTCTTTTGTCCTCCTACTCAAAGCCCAGGTCAAGATTCATATCCTTTGTACAGGCTTCCCAAGTCCAGTTCCCTCTCTCCTCTGTTCTCCTTTGGCACATTGTTTACGAAGTTCACCACTTCTACCACTTGTCATATGCATTTGGACACTTGTCTCATTGCCCCTACTGGATTGAATATCGTTATGAATATGACATATGTTCATCTTCACCGCATTATTTGGACTTAGCACACTGTATACAAGCAAAAATAAATTTACTGAAATGAATTGAATTAAGAAATACCTCAGGATAGAGAGCAGTTTGTCCAGTCTTTCAAGATCTTCCTACTCCCAGTTACAGATTTGAATCATGGATCCTCATTTTTAAAGTGTTGACTTTCCATCTAAGGGGGTTCTCTACTTTTATCTGCCCCTTGTAATCAAGATCAAGATTGTGAAAGGCTTTAAGACGCACTTGCAATAATCCTCTTCAAGACTGAATAAATGTTTTCACTTACTAATATAACATTATGAGGGCTTTTAAATTCCATGTTACAGATTGCTTTGCCTGCCAGAAATATCATTAACTGAACATGAAAAATAACAAACTTTTCTTTTTCATAATAGATAACAAATTTCATTGCCCCACACTCTAGTGGTGCTATGACAATTCCATTAGGAACAATTTAGACTAAATCAGGTTTTTGTAGAAACTTACAATTGAAAGCTGACAATAGCAATGCTGACTAAAATATATTCATTTATGCAACTATTCACTTATAGAATTTATTAAATAGTACCTATTAATAACCAGTCACTATACTAGAACCTGCAGCTATAAAGACAAAAATTTTCCTCAGGATTTGAAACCTCTATGAAGAGACAAGGAAGCAGTAAATGAAATTGTAAATGGTGATACGGGCTTGACTGTGCAGAACACTTATATGCAATGAGTAGTTTAATCTGCTTTACCAAGGACATGTAAAAAATATAGTGACCATCTGTAGATGGAGTAGACAGCTCGGTCCCATGAGGTCATTCAGGAATCCAAAGCGTTTCCACATTGTGGCTCACGATGCTTCAGGTGCCACCCTCATTCACGTGGTGCAGACTGGGTTACTACAACATCCTAGTTCCAGCCCCTTAGCAGGGGATAAGAATGGCAACTGAAGGCATGCCATTTTCTCTTTAAAAAGTGATACAGAAGTTGTCCATATTTCTTCCATACTCCTTCAGATGTTAAGATCTGAATCGTGTGACCACTCTGAGCTGCAAAGAAAAACTAGAAAATGTAGTTTCGAACCAGGAAGTCTCTGGCCATGATGGATGGAAAGGAGATCTGGGGGTACTCATCACAGGCAGCAAGTGGCAGATGCTCTCAGTAGAGAAAATGGAGATGGATAATAATGCTTTATATTTGCAGAGCAATTCACATTTTTTGAAGTTCTGCCACACTACTTGCTGCATTTTATCTTCATATTAATTCTGTAAAGTAGACAGGACAGGGTTTATTATAGGGAGATGAATGTAAAGTGAATGTGGCTCAAATAATCCAAGCAGGCCAGGCTTGGTGCTCAGCCTGCAATCCCAGTGCTTTGGGAGGCTGAGGTGAATGGATTGCCTTAGCCCACGGGTTCGAGACCCGCCCTGGCAACTTGGCGAGACCTCATCTCTACAATAAATCAAAAATTAGCTGGGCGTGGTAGCGCACACCTGTAGTTCCAGCTACTTGGAAGGCTGAGGCAGAAGGATCACCGGAGCCCAGCAGGTCGAGGCTGTGGTGGCCTGGAGCATGCCACTGCACTCCAGCAGTCTGGGTGACGGAGTGAGACTCCAACTCAAAAAAATAAAAATAAAGTGATAAAATAATCATGATCATCATCAACATCATCATCATCATCTAAGCAGAAGTACTGAGAATAAACTCCAAACCCAATGGAGACGAGGAAATTAGCCTAGTAGCCGAAGAGGATGGTCTCTTTTTCTGATCCTCAGTCTGAGAAAATCCTTTAGAAACCGCCACACAAAACCACACACACATATATACATACATGCATACATACATATTCAAAATACACAAAACTAGATGTATGAACAATAAATTTAAAAATTAAAGTTGCAAGTATGTTGTCTTTGGAAATCTGTGGCATATGTACTTCTGAACTTATTAATTCTTAAAATGGAGTGAAGATTTTAGGAACATCAATGAATCGCATGGGTTGTCATCTAATAAAATTTTTGCCAGTCTGAAAAGCTCAGCAGGTTTGGTTGGGCTGTTTTAATCAGATTGATTGGTTTTGCTTTTCCGTACTGTTTTTGGTGGAAGAGGAAACGAAATATGTAGTGGAGTGTCCTTTCATTTATTTACTAACATGGTACCATGATAAGCTAAGTTTCAAATCCTGTGTCTCATAATTCATATCATTTTTATTTTAATGAAATAATATTAACAATAGAAAGTAATCATTGGTGACTTTTATAATAAAACCATGAAAGAATGTTGGCAAACCTGCCTCATACAGAAGTCAAGGGTTCATGAACTTAGAAACATTAACATCTTATTATACATTAGTCTAGCGCTTTTATTTTTCAATCATTTCTTTAATGTATTCCTATTTCTCTGTTCAGAAACAGTGAATTCTATCCCATGAAATTTCATATCTATGCATCTAATAAACACTTTAAATCTTGCTTATGATTTAGAAAATGAAGATATTAGGGTTTTATTTATACATGAAGGCATTAAATTATTAAGCACTTGTTTTTAACTGTTTGAAGTTTTGATATTCACTTTTAATATGATTTAAAAAATTTTTAAATCTCACTGTTTTCTGTTTTTCCAGACATGAACCTGGAGCCCTACATGATGTATGAGTACAGGATTTCTGCATGGAACAGCTATGGGCGAGGATTCAGCAAAGCTGTTAGAGTCAGAACAAAAGAAGATGTGCCGCAAGGAGTGGGTCCCCCTAGGTGGAACAAAATGGACAATCTTGAAGATGCCATTGTTTTAAACTGGAAAAAACCTATACAACCAAATGGTACTTAGCTACTTTTAAGATAGAAATAATATAACAACATAAATCCATAAGGAAATTGAAATGAGTGTAATCTGCATTTAATTGGTATCCACCTAGCCACTAGAAAAGTGTGTGCTGTTAAAAGTTTCTTCAGCTGTGTGCCAACTAATGATTCACTTTGTAGTGTAGCCCTCATAAATGTTCAGCCTAAATAAGTAAAAGTTCTTTAATCCCAGCATATATGTGAGCTTTTTTCAAATATGTAAAGCGTAAGGAAGCCAAAGAGTTTCAATATTGAAAGTAGATTTGTTTGATATTAAAGGGAAATAAACACAAATGACTCTTTGATTATCCATGTCAAGAATCTATCTCCTCCATAATAGTATAATTAAGAACTGCTTAAGCATAGCAATATAATAGCAAATTAAAATTAAATAAAACTATAGTATCCCATTTCTTCAGAACACTAAGCCTTGTAAGTTATTTTCAGAACACTAAGGTTTGTAAGTTATTTGCAAATAGTTAAAATGATATGACATTCAAATATGGATTTATCTCGGATCCTTTTAGGTCCTATTATTTACTACATTCTTCTTCGAAATGGAATTGAACGCTTTCGGGGAACATCATTGAGCTTCTCTGATACAAAGGGAATTCAACCATTTCAGGAATATTCATATCAGCTGAAAGCTTGCACGGTTGCTGGCTGTGCCACCAGTAGCAAGGTAACGGGAATTTGCCGAAATGCTGGGGAAAAGGGCTCAATGTGAAGACTATCTGAACATCCACGTTTTGAGTGCTTTTTCCAATAAAGAAAACAATGCCCCCTTCAAAGTGTGTTAACTTGGGTCTTTATGTGTCACCTTACCTAGGTGCTAATACTTATGCCTGGAAGGAGAGATCATTGTAAGGGAGATTTATACAAATATCAATGTTTTGTTTATGAAAAACAAATGAATTCTTGAACCACTATCATCTCCTCTTTCACATTCTTTCCCTTCAACTAATTTTAGGTAATGTATATATCCATAAAAATGTTTTAGCCATTTTTTCAGTTGAAAAGTGTTTCTATTTTAATATCATATCAACAAAAATTACCTGATTTTGAAAAAGAAAGGGGGAAAAAAAAACCCTGACATAGAAAATAAATGGTTCTAATGCTTCTGCAATAGCCTTGGCAAGGAATAATGAAGAGCTGAACTCAGGTACCCAGGATCAGAATGGAGAATATCAGAAAGACACAACAGACATGGGAGACAAAATGTATATAACTTGGTAGTCAACTAACTATATGTAGAGCAATAAAAGGAAAGTCATGGATATTTTCCACATATCTGGCTTAAGCAATTTGTGAATAATGGTCCCATTCTGCAAGCAAATTTTTAAAAAGAGGAAAATGTTAAATGTTTTTTAAGTTTTAAAAATATTATTTAAAGAGAAGAAGGAGCAGATACTATGGTAGAAAAGCAGGTATTTTTGGCACTTGAAGTGAAAAATATCTAGTCTGAAGCTGAATTCAGAAGTGACTGGAGTTTGCTAGAAATATCTATATGGGAAGTTGAAGCAATGAGTGTAAATATGCTCGTCAAAAGAGAATAGGGAGAGACAAAAACAACATACCAAAGATGATGAGCATTGGGAAACATTATCAAACGTAGAAGAAAGAAAACTCCACAAAGATGACTGGAAAGAAATGATCAAACAATTTAGAAGGCAAATAAAGAAGGAGCCATTTATAGATACCAACTTTGTCAAATGGAGCCCAGGAGGAAGCAAACAACTCAACAAAGAACAGCTCTGACTTTTTTCATACACTTAAACACTAGAAGAACGATCATGGGAGGCCCAAACCTCACCTGTACAATGACTGCTTAACATACCTAATCCTGAATTGTACTCCACATCTTTAAATAAAAAGTTAAAAAAAAGGAGCAGCATCTTCACACACTGTATAAGAACCATTCAAATAAAACATTATCACACTGCTCTGCCACAGAGCATGTGTGCAACTTTTGTTCAACAAGCTCCTAGAAGCCTGTCTGAGTGAGCCACCTTTAAACAGAAGACAGCTGATTAGTCCAATCAAGTTATGGTCTGAATGGTTCTAAAACAATCTATGCTTTTTGTATAGATACAGCTTAGGCCTACTACATGCCAAAACAATTGGTTAAAAGATAGACTCGAATTTAATTCTGTTAAAAAAAAAAAATGCAACTTTTTTTGTCCAAAACTGTGTTTGAGAATATTGACTAAATAATTGGTTAATGTTTTTTCTTCTCACTAGGTTTTTTTTCTAGTATATTGGTGTGGACGCTTTAAAGTCATCCCAGGAATCATGGGATGAGTACTGGAAAGTCTGCCCATTTATACTGTTCAAAGCATATTATATGCATGCAAGTTCAGATGTGAGTTTTGCTCCATATTTACTGGTGCTTAAAATGTACAAAATCAGGCTGTTAAAATGCAAAGACACTGATGGGCCATATGGAAGAGAGTTATCAAGAGTTCTCTAGTAAGACAGTCTGCCAGCCAGATTTTACTTGTTTAAACACTGAGGGCTGCACTCTGCCGTCAAAATTGTTGTTGAACCTGTTGTGATAAATGGTAGTCTGAGACTTATATAATATATTCAAGGTCAGATTTCATTGTTTAACTAGGATGGGAGGGAAAGAATAAAAAAAGGGGAACTGTTTCTCCAAGTCCCTGCTAATGATATGCCAGGCCAGACAACAACATTTTAAAACAAAAGTGACATTCTCATTGATCAGGATACCTAGTGTACTATTACAATAAATTGCTGTTTAATTCCTGTGTCTTCAGGTAGTTGCAGCTACTACCCAAGGAGTTCCGGAGAGCATCCTGCCACCAAGAATCACAGCTCCGAGTGCAGAAGCTCTGCATCTGAGCTGGAGTGTCCCTGAGAAACCAAATGGCGTCATTAAAGAGTACCAGATCAGGCAGGTTGGGAAAGGTCTCATCTACACTGACACCACTGACAGGAGGCAGCATACGGTCACAGGTGAAAAAAAAGGAAAATCTACTGGAGGAGTCTGTCATTGTGGTTGGGGGGGGCAAAGTATCCCAGGGGTGTGTGTTTGATATATGAGGTCACTTCGAAAGGACATGTTCTCTTGACATATGGTCAGGTCCCACTTATCCATGCTAATAGAAGAGCCCACACTGGCAGCAATAAGCCACAACAGCAGATAACTTCAGAAATAATTTATATTTGGCTTTGATATGCATTATGTGTAGGGTTTTTGCATCAGTATTAACTTTTTTTTTCAAACAAACAGTAAGATGCATTTTCATTCCCCAAGGATATACTCATAGATAATAGGACTAGGATAGCCAAGAATGTACTGGAAGGCAGAAGGAAATCAGCCAGAGGCTAACATTTGTCTACTAAGTGGGTAATTAATACACGGAGCTAGTTGACAGTGGACTAGTTGTGATTATTTGTTACTATTATTAACATTAATTAATAGTAATTATATGTTTTATTTATATCATTGCTTATTATAATTAGCTTTAATAATATGAGTACAGTACAATAGCATAGTGTTAAATAATTGCCAATGGTGATTACAATAATAATTAATAGGTTTTAGCTTAAATGTCACTTCTGAAGCGAAGAGAAGCATTTTCTGACCTACCCTGTCTGGAGTAGCTTCTCTAACACACCACCAATCACCTTGTGTTATTTTCATCATAGATATCTTACTTCCTGATATTTTCGTGTTTGTTTTTTGTCTTCTTATGTTTCCCTCTACTCAAACGTAGGTTCCAAGAGACTAGGGACCTGGTCTACCTTTTTCAATGCTATTAGCACCTAGAACAGTACTGAACATGTCAACAAAAGCTAAATACATGTTTGAGGAATTAATAAACTTACTATGTGCCAAATACTGTCCTGAGAACTTCACATGCACCACTCAGTTTGATTCTCAGTCACAAACCTATGAGATAGAGAGAATTCCCACCCTCATTTTACAGAAAAGAGCACTTAGAGAGATTAACTTATCTGGGTCTATTAAATCATCTCAAACAGCTTTGTAAGTTTAAATTCTGACACCACAGGCACGATTTTACAAACTTTCACTTTTTCTCTATTGTCAGACCTCCTGAGTGAATGACCTCCTCCCATCGGTCCCCATACTGTGCAGAGGCTTTTGATAACACAGATAATGAAACTCTCATAGAACTGCAAAGAAAAATGTGTCCAATTTTTCCTAAGAAGAGAAACAGGCTACAATACAGGGTGACACAATAAATGCATCATGTTTTACTCTAAAACTCCACAATTTGCTAACCTGTAAACAAGTATTCATTGACAGAATCTCCAGTGTTTTGCCATAATTCTGAAGAAGGTGCTAATACAACTTGTGGACTTGCCCATTACATTCTTTATCTCGAGATCCTGAGCTAAATCAATGATACTGGGGATGAGGAAAGCCCTCGGCAATTCAAATAATCAAATGTGTTTGTTATCTCTTATATAACTTGAAGTGAAAATCATCACAAGTAGCTGAAATAATGTTGTTTTCCAAAATAAAGCCTTACCTTTATATGGTGCCTTATCATTTTATAGAACCACTTGCATTTTGATTTATTTGATTTTCATCACATTCCTGTAAGAGATGTTTTTCATAACCACATTTGAAAGATGAAGAAGAAAACTGACCTACTCAGGGTGCCCAAGGCACCACTGCCTCTATCTATTAAAAAACTCAGAATATCGTTTCATTAAAAAAAAAAGTGAGTTGCCCACTTGCAGTAGTCCACATAGTACACTAAGTGCTCTAAAGTAAGATTGCTGTTCTTCAGATACCTTCAGCAATAGGGAAGACTGACAAGGAAAGGCATAACTGCCAGCAGAACTCTGTACAGGATACAGTGGAGAAAATTAAAAGAATGGCTTAGAGTATGCCATGGGATGTTAATTATAGAGTTTTGAAAGCCAAGTTAAGGCACATTAAGACCAGTAAAGGTTTCAAAATAAACTAGGTACAAAGCCAGAGAAATTTATCCTTCTAGTATCTGTCAACTTAACCAGCATTGGCTTTGAATTGTTCCCAGCTGTAATGGTTTATATGTTTTAGAAATCAGCAATTTATGCCCCAACAAACCAAATTGAATTGTAATGTTCAAACCAACAGGATTAATAGCCTCATTAATTATAAAGTAATTGCAAAGATTTTTCTTTAAATAACTTCACTCTACCAGTTCTTCCTTTCATTGTCATTTTTAATGGATATTTTTATGTCAGAGAGGATTTTATACACACACCTTGGTGCCAGAAATCCTCTTCTATTAGAATAAATATTTTAAAGTTTTCGCACATAATTTTTACAAAATCATAAAATGGAAAAAAGCCTCTAGAAGTCATTTGATCTATCCTTCTCTTCTGTTTTAAATAGATTTAGAGAGCATTTCACTTGGGCTATACAGCCCTAAAGAGAGATTTCTTTGTTGAATGAGGAAAGAAACCGTCATTCAGCAAAACCCTACCACGTACAGAGCCTTCTATATGCAGTTCCTATGGGACAGAAATGGTGCTAGGCATTAGATCATCTAAAACTTGAGATCTATATAATGTTACACATTTTATCTGCCCGAGAAAAATCAGTTCCATGGTTAGCTGACTGACCAAATGCAGTACGGAAGTATTTTATGATGTGAATGACTGTTCTATTGAGTTCATGAAATGAACTAAAATAATCAAATTTATTTCCCATTCCATCTCAAATGTTTGATGGAGGAGCTGCCTGAACCCCCTAGGAGAAATGTTTTGATATTCTCATCATTTCCAAAACCTTGGCATTCCCTAAGCAACAGAGCACTAATGAAGCTGTAGCACTAGTCGTCCTGGAGCCTGAAAATCTAGGTCCTTAGAAATGACAGAAGAGAGAGGGAGCACCTTGCCTCGGCCCCATTGTCTCCATGCTTATTTTTAATTACCTCAAAGCTTTAGAAACATGATCCCGTAAATGCTTTGTGGGAATAGTGGCGAATGCACTCACCATGCGAAATCCATAAATTGCTTATAATCCTCTCAAGATGTTAAAAAAAGCATTAAGTAATTGAAGACAGGAAGTCCTCGGTTAATTATTTAGAGGTGTTATCAATGCTTTAAGTAAACTGAAGCGTTTTCTGCTATCTCACTGAGCTGAATACCGCGGGGACGAAGGGGTAGCAGTCATCATCTTCTCATATTCGCTAATGCAAACAGCGCATGGCAGCTTGTCAATAAAAGACCTTCTCATATCGTTCATTACTAAACACAACCCCCATCCTGTACGGAACAACTTGGACATCAGTTATGGCATTGTTTTGCTTTGGGTTACCACTACATTCTACATGGGCCTCCTCATGTGGCCTTAGGGGTAGAGGAGAGGGTAAAAGGATTAACTAAATAATTAAGGCCACCAAGAAAAAAATGAATTAATAGTGTCCCCTTCAGCAGCAAGTATAATAAGAGCCTATGTGTCTCCTAACTCTGGGGAAACTGTTTTCAAAATATTTAATTGAAAGTTGTTCATCATGCATTTCACTTAAAAGGCAAAACCCACCAGCATTAAATTTGCAAGGGGAGAATAGTTTTTTTCATTTCTTCTCCTCTTAGAAGTTAATGAAAACCTTGTGTGCTAAATAGCATAAACCCTAACAATGCTGGTTATAACAGAAAGTGTAATACTAATGTTATACTGAAACAGGTATCTTACACATAACTTTTGAAAAGGAGAAAATAGTTGAATTGTTAATATTACAAAATATGAAAGTTTGTTGGGGCATTTTTTTTTTAGATTACTTTGTGCTTTCATAGTATCTTTGCTCTCATGGTATTTATTACAATTTATTGTAATATTCTTTTTCCTTATCTCTGTTCCTGAATAACTAGGTAAAGCTTTTTAAGGACAGAGACAATAGCTTCCTGTTTGCCCTTATGTCCCTGGTAACTATCACAGTACTTGACATATTCTAAAAATACTTGTTCAATGAATAAATATTGAATAGTAAACATACTTAAATGACTACATTCTTGTTTGATTGGAGATTTTTTTAAGTGCCACTATCAAACACATTTTAATATCAGGCAGAACCGGCTACGTAATTTGTGAAGTTTGGTATAAAATGAGAATTTAGGGCTCCCTGTTCAAAAATCATTAAGAATTTCACAATGGTAAAAGCGAGCGTTGAATTAAGCTTCTAAGCATGGGATCTTGTTTGACTGCATGGGTCACAGGCCCACGAAGCCAGACCTGATTTCAAGCAGTCTAATTTATTGTCAGTATATTTCTTTAACTAAACAAATAGGAAGAAACCTAGGATGGTGATCATGCCTCAGAACAGCTTCCGTAGCTTCTTGTTTAATTGTGTGTGATGCTCAGGGCTGTATTTCCCCAGTTACTACCTAACTACTGACCACCAAGCATCAGACCTGTGAAAACAGAGAGGACAATTCATTTATTTTCATTTTTTCAAATCTGAAGAAATTTTGCCTGACTACTTGATCAAAAAAAAAAAAAAGCATTGACTACTTTTTCTTCCTTTCTTTGTACTTGCTTATTTATAAGATATTAAAGCCAAAGACATTAATATTTAAAGAAAAAAATTATCCGGAATACCCAGATATTTAAAGGGAGTTTGGGCAATCACTAATTGTTTTGTTTCAGCAGTTCTAACCACTCCCTTCACTCTGTAACCTCCTCTTTGTTGTGCATTTGAACAGCATCAGACTTTGCTGCCACCTGATCCCACATTTTGCTTGTAAAGGAGAAAACTCCACCTGAAAAGGCAAAGAAGAAGGCTGAGTCTAGTACAACACTGAACTCTAAAGAGGAAGAGTATTTATCAAAATATTATTAGAATCAAAAGCAAGGGTCTTTCCTTGGTGTCTCTCTTAATAATAGTCTTAATGTTGATCTATATTTGCTTTCTTGTTTAAGAAATATTTCTTGGGACGTAACTAAGAAGTATTTCTTGGGATAAGTCTGATCACTAAGCTATTGAGAAGGG